AAAAACACCTATAATTGTTCTAAAATATTAGGCAAGTATAGGAAACGATATTTTAAAATCATACTTTGAATTTCTATGGGTCTAGTATAGGGAAAAACACTATTTTTTATTAACTAAGAGTGGCAATTAAAGAGCTGGTGCCCTGGGTTCAAATCCTGGCTCCTACTATTGATTGCTGAGCGATCTTGGAAAAGCTACTTAGCTTCTCTGCGCTTTAATTTCTTTTTAATATAAATCTTTTATCATATATTAATAATGGTTTCATAAAGATACTTTCATTCAAATGTGTCATAAACTTTTTTAAAAAATTATTTTTATTTGAATTTTTCTGTATTTATACACAAAATCTTTTGTGCTTTAATTTCTTCATCAGCGACAACAGTGATAACTGTGATAATGCCTGTCTTGAAATACTGTACAGATTAAGTAAATTGGTTAATGAACCTTTCTTAGATAAGCACCTAGCACATAGTAAGCAGAAGTCTGGACTGTTGCTGTCGATCAGGAACAGTGGATCCAGCAAGGATATTGTTGAGATGACATTCTAGTAAAGAAAGGCAGACATAAGTAACTATGAAGTTATGCTAGGTAGTAAAGGTTCCAGAGAAGACTAAGCCAGGATGGAGGCAGGCAGGGAGTGAGGATTGCAGGATGATGCTATTTAAGTAGGGTCAGAGAAGCTGACTCTGGTAAAGTGACATTTGAGAAAAGCTCTGAAGGAAAGAGTTGGGACCGAGGGGATGTTGAAGGGGTTGGAGGGTGGGGGCAGTGAGAGGGAGATGGGAGCATACTGGAAACTGCTGAGCAAGGGAATTGAAGCAAACTTACAGCCTTATACATGTGGGGTGAACATGTTGCCACTGAGCCATGTCGCCGGCCCATTACCCTCTGCTGTTGACACATGCCTCTGGCTGCTGTGCTCAGGGCATCTGACAGCAGGCACATGTGGGAAAGAGGGGAGGACAAGATGTGGAAGGCTCCTGCCTGGCCCAGGTGAGAGGAGGTATCAGTTTAAAATGCTAGAAGTAAAACAGGGAAGGGACCCTTGACAGTCCTAGCAGTTCCCATCATGAAGCTTTCACGGTTCATTTCCGTTCTAGGTTTGTTTCCTCACAAAATTGAGGGGTTGGGCTCATTAGTCTTTTGCAACTAGAAACTTCTAGTTTTGAAAAGCTGTGAGTACCAGCCACGTTTCAATGGGCTTGACAGTGATGTTACTGAATGAAAGTAATCCTGGGTTGACTAGGGATAAATGTTTTGCAGGGTGAAGAATAACCCCTTGATGATTTGTTTTGAGAATGAAGTTTAAGGTTGTTGAAGATGAGTTTCTTACATCTTAGGACTATAAAGAATAGGAAGAAAGAACCTGTCTGAAACATGTTAATGTGGTAAATTACCTTTTATTTCAAAACTGCTTGATTACAGTTCAGTCTAAACAGTTAATTTTACATATAGTGAACAGAGAAAGCCTGAAATATTTTTTTTCATAGCTAAAAGCTAAGCAAAGCTCAGCTATTTCTTAAACAGAAATGCCACTAATGAATTAATAAACTGTAATTCTTTAAAATTTTCTTCTGGTGAAAGACAGGCAGATGTTTCACTATGCTTTGGTTACAGGCATTTATATACAGCTGAAATTCAAGATAAACAGCATTTCTACTAGACATGTCTGCAACGCCTAAAGAAGGGTGGTCAGACATAAAAAAATGTAAACAAGGTCTCGAAAAAAAACCATAAACAAGGCTTTGCAGATGGACTTTCCAGATTGAAAACAGTAGCTCTTTTTGAGACAGGGTCTCCCTGTAGCCCCAGCTGGCTTGGAACTTGCTATGTAGACCAGGATGGCCTTGAACTCACAGAGATCTGCCTGCCTCTGCCTCCCAAGTGCTGGGATTAAAGGCATGCACCACCCTGCTTGGCACATATATATATAATTTTTATTTCATGTGTATGAGTGTATTACCCACATGTAGGTGCACCCATATTGTGCATTGCCTGAAGAGGTCAGAAGAGGGTATTGGATCTCCTGGAACTGGAGTTACAGACAATTGTTAGCTTCCATGTTGGGTGCTGGGAATTGAACCCAGGTCCTCTGCAAGAACAGCCAGTGCTCTTAACCACCAAGTGATCTCTCTAGCCCTCTTTGTTCCCGTTCATCTTATACATGTTATTCTAATCTGTAGGTGAGATTTCTAACTCTGTGAGGAGAAAGAAACATTGCTAGCAGGCCGTTGTATTAGCATTGCTGTGTGCAGTGGGACTCAGGACAGGACCAAGAAGGGAGGTTTGTAAGGGATTCCACCAAGTACCTCAAACAGGAAGATGTCCTGTCAAGGCTCTGTGCATGTAGCTGCTAGTTCAGAATGCCTTGTGATGGTGATATTTGTGTGCATTTTGCATTTTGTTCGACAGTATTGCCATGTTGATATAAACCATACCTGAATACTTACTAAGCTGAAGCACCTCAAACATTTGCCCAGGCACTGATTCCTCCCGACTTCAGGTTGGGAAGCGTGGCCTTAGGCCACTTGGAGGAATAGAGCCCCTGCACAGAGTTATGGATCCATTCAGGCTTTTAGTTCTTTGTAACTGTTTTTGTCAAGCCAATCTCCACTCTCAGGAGTAATAGTCACATAAGGCAGCAAAATGTCCAGACTCAGCATTCTTTTGTTAACCTAGTTAGGTAGGAGGGAATGTTTATTAAGCTATTTTTCTGTATTTCAAAATATGAATACAGCTTTAAATTATTTTAGGGAGTATGGCCATAGAATTATTTTAGACACACACAAATTTTTGTTGTGCTAAAATTAGGGGGCAGCCATAAAACTTGTCAATCGATCTAGTTCCCAACATTTTATTAATTTCTGTTTATTTATGGGAAAACTAGAATCAGCTTTTTTTTTTGTTTGTTTGTTTCCTTTGCTCTTTTTGAGACAGGGTCTCCCTGTAGCCCTAGCTGTCCTGAAACTTACTATGTAGACCAGGCTGGCCTTGAACTCACAGAGATCCTCCTGCCTCTACCTTCCTGAGTGCTAGGACTAAAGGCGCAGGACTAAAGGCATATGCCACCATGCCTGGCCTGTGTGTGCTTTAATTACAGAGCATAGAAAGGACCGATTTTAGAAAGCCTCCAGCTTAAGCAGATAGTCACCACCCAGTCCCTGGAAGAGCTCAGGGCTTTTACAGACTTATGGCTCTTACCCTGGGCCCATCAGTGTGAGAATCAGCTCTGGAGCTTGTCCCCTTCTGGGGAAGGTGACAAA